CTCCTGACAGCATTTTGGTTTAAGTACTGTCACTCCATTTTTCAGTTGGAGAAGTTGAGGCAAAGAGAGGTTAAGTAATTTATCGAACATCACATGACTGGTAAGTGGTGGAATAAGTGTTCAGTTTTAGGCATTCTGATTCATTTGTCTTTAATTCCAGAATCCCCAGCTGCATTAGTTTCCTGTGGCTGCTGGAAGAAAGTTCCACAAACTGGGTTGCAGAAGTTTATTCTTACAGTTCTGGAGGCTAAAAATCTAAAAGATGTTAGTGGGGCCATGCTCCCTCTGAAAGCTCTAGGAATGAACCCTTCCTTGCCCTTCCCAGCTTTCTGACTTGTTGGTAGCATACAAGGTCTGTCTGGAAAAAGTCCAGCCATTGTTAATATAACATGAACAGTTTGCGCAATATCGATGTAACCTGGCAGCCTGGGAGAGTGGACTGGAATGCACATGTGTGAACAATGACGACTTCACTGTACTAGTCAGTTGGGGTGGTAGACGCCATTGAGTGCGCATGTGTACTATGTGGCTATCGCATTCAAAATGACTGAGCCAGTAGAGCAACAAATCTGCATCAGGTTTTGCATTGAGCCTGAATGTTCCTCCATGGAAGTTATTCAGTGATTCAAAAGGTTGCAGCCGTGGGCAACTGGTGATTGGCAGCCTCATAACGACAGTGTCCCCACTTACACATCTCTTCTCATGCAGAGTTTTTTGGTGGAACATCAAATCACCCAGATGGCCCAGGCCTCAAAAGCCCAGATTTGGTGGCCTGTGACTTCTGGCTTCTCCCAAAACTAAAATCACCTTTCAAGCTATTGATGAAATTCTGGAAAATATGACAGGGCAGCTAATGACGATTGGGAGAATTGTGCCTCCTTTGAACGGGACTGAGGTGTCATTGTCCTGTGTACAGTATTTCTTGTATCTTGTGTCTCCTTCAATAAATGTCTCTGTTTTTCATATTACATGGATGGATACCTTCTGGACAGACCTTGTAATTCTAATCTTTGCCTACCATTGTTTCTTCAAGGCAGCCTATACCTTTCCAGCAAGTGCCTCACATTCTTCCAGCCTTTTTCTCATTACTCAATTTAAAGCCATATCCAAACTTCTAGGTATTTTGTTATAACACTTAGTTTCCCAGTATCAGAATCTGTATTAGTTTCCTAGGGCTGCCATAACTAATTACCATAAACTGAGTTCATTAAAATAACAAAAATTTGTTCTGTCATGGTTCTGGTGACTAGAAGTCTGCAGTCACAGTGTCACAGGATTGGTTTTCTCGATGCGCTCAGGTGACTCAGTTCCATACCCCTCTCCTAGCTTCTGGTGGTTGCTAGCAGTCCTTAAAGTTTCTTGACTTACAGACAGAAGCATCAATTGAATCTCTGCCTGCACTTTCATATCACCTTCTTTTTGTGTTGTCTTTTCTTATAAGGACACCCAGAATTGGATTTAGGGCTTATATTAAATCCAAAATGATTTCATCTCAAGATCCATAGCTAATTATGTCTACAAAGACCATTTCCAAATAAGGTCACATTCTAAGGTTTCAGGTAGACCTGAATCTTGGGGGGCATTCTTTTCAACACAATATATACTAGTATTCCTTATTCTTTGTTTCTTTATGTTTGTTTAGAAGTGAAACTAAAAGCTTAATGTGGTCATTAACCTCTTATCTTGCCATAGTGAAAGCCAAACAGATTTGAAAATGTAGATATACATATGTATGTTGCTCCTAACTATATTTTTCCGCAAAGATTTTCATCCCAACCATCCTTTCCTGCCATCCTGTGAGCATCTTGAGCTGATAAGTGTCTGTAGGGATGCCAGGCCGGTTTGGGTGTACAGAGCTTCCATAGAAACCAAACCCCAAAGCCAAATATACATGCAAATCCATGTACATTTATATAGGAAAGCTGCTGTTGTCGCTCTTACAATTAGAACAGTTTTGATAATAAAAACTGTAAATGTGCCCAAGTCATAAGTATTAAAACAAATTTAGTTTGTTTTCTTTGAAAACATTACCAATTCTTGTTCATTCTGTTTTGCTGCTTTATGCTTTTAAAGAGTCTTTCTACATGTATCTTCAAGAAGAAAAATATTGTCAGTGTTAAGTATTAATCTTTGATGAGCAAAATAAGTAGTCCTTGTATGTCGCATTTTTAGAGGGACATCAACGAACTACATTTAGGGGAAGAATATTAGGGTACTGAAGACTCTGGATAAGATGTTGTATTAAAATATTTGAGCATATTTGTCCTGAAAAGAAAAAAAAACAGTGAAAGTTATAGATGTTGTGAAAGATTTGAAAGACTGCGAAGGATGTGTTAGGTTGATTTCAGAAAACTCTAGCGGACAGCACCAGGACTAATTGTTGGATGTGTTAGGTTTGCATCATTGCATTAAAAAAGAAAACCCTTCTAAAAGCAATTCCAGTTTAAAGCAGATTACCATATGAAGTAGTGAGTTCACTGTTAAGATGAAAATTACAATTAAAATTGTAAGCAAGTGTTCTTTGTTAAGATGGACATTCTGCAGATCTTAGCATGAATTAAATCAGTCAGATGTTAGGGACTCTTTCAGTAGTCTGTGAGTGGCTTGGAAAAATGGAAAGAATGGCCATTTAATTAAACTTATTTCCATAACATCTCATTTTCATGTTGATATCTTATGCTTATAAATTACCCTATAAACATTTTTATGTAGAATGTTTTTCTTGTTCCATTGAAATTTGTGAATATTTCTGGGGGGGTAGGAAACAAACAGCTACAGAAGGAAGGTAATGTCTTTATAGCAGGGGAAATCCTTAAGAGTGATATTTTAGAAAATAAAGAATCAGACAGTGCCCTGACCAGTGTGGCTCAGTTCGGTGTGGCTCAATTCGTTGGGCTCGTTCTGCAATGTGAAATGTCGCTAGTTCCAGTCCCGGTCAAGGCACATGCCTGGGTTGTGGGTTCAGTTCCTATTCAGGGTTGTGTGAGAGAAGCAACTTACTGATGCTTCTTTCTCACACCAATGTTTCTCTTTCTCTCTATCTCCATCCCTTCCCCTCTCTCTGAAAATAAATAAATAGCCCTGGCCAGGTTGCTCAGTTAGTTACAGTGCTGTCCTGATACACTGAGGTTGCAGGTTCTATCCCTGGTCAGGGCACATACAAGAATCAGCCAGGGAATGCATAAATAAGTAAAACAAAAATTGGTATCTCTCTCATCAATTAAAATAAATAAATAAATAAAATCTTTTTAAAACCACATTTATTTTTTAAAAAAGAATCAGGCGGTGATGTAATGTTCATGCTCAAAGTGCACTTAGTACTTTCTGATTTGATATTGTCACTTAATTGGATTTTTATCTTATGCTTATTTGTAAGATTAACTAACTGTCCTCCACCAAGTACTCACACATTCTGAATTTTGAGGTCCTGTTTCTGTGTCATATTTTTAGATATACTTCTTTGCTACTGTACTAATTCCTCTCCCCTCTACTATCCATAAATTGTTCTATTTCTAAGCATAAGATAAAAATCCAATTGCATAAGATTTGATATTGCCTTTATAAAACTGTTTATTATTTTTTTTATTAGAGGCCTCTGACATCCTTACAGTTGTAAACTGATATAAGAACATTGTCATTGCTCAGTCATAAGTTAGTAGAAATACCCATTATAGAGTGAAATCTAGAATAGATTTAAGAAATGATCTCCAGAAATTGCTGTAAAAAACTTCTAACAGAACTATACTAATCTCATATGCCAGGAGATGCTGATTTGAAAGAGCAAAGCTAGGTAAGGGAATCCTCTATTAATCTTTTTACTTTTAAAGTTTGGATAGTTTTGATAGCCTTTTATTTATCCCTGATTTACTTTCTTTCTTTAGAATTACTTAGTGATTCATTCCTGGAATTCTGCCAAATTTTTATTTACTGCCTTACTAGTAATATTTTATATTTATTGATCACTGATGATGTGCCCAGACACTATGCCAGGCACATTATTATTATACCTTTGATTGTTACAGTAGCCCTGAAGACAGTTACTGTTACGGGAAACAAAAGGCCTCAGAGGCTCAGAGAGACTGTGTCTTGTCCAAGTCCATGTTCACATACCTAAAAATTGAGCCCATTTAAAGCTCAATCTTTCTTAAAGTCCAGCTTTCAACTCCATGAGTTTGCCTTTGAGTAGACAGGAAAGTTCGACTCTTCCATCAAGTATACCTCACTCGCACTCCTGGATTCCTTTTGAATGTGAGAAGAAATACCCTCACATGTGTTTCTCTATGTCTGGTCCTCGACATTAGACATTAATTTGCCTGTTTTTAGTTAGTGACCATCTCTGTTGAAGTCTCTACCTCTGTTACAAGTGAATGGGACCTTGGGAGAGATTTAAGCAGGAAAGGAAGCTGTTCCTCTAGTTTGAGCTTTGTCCATGTGAAAAGAAGAGCAATGAGACATTATCTTTCCATTGAGATGACTCCTTCAAGGACCAGAATTTAGCAGACCATTTTCACCATTTTGATGGAAATGCTTCTAAATTATATTGAAATGTGGACCTGCTTTGTACCTGCAATGTACAGAGTTTAAATATTTCAAGTTAAAATTCTCATTATTACAGTGATGATCTTAAAGTCAATATAAGTGAAACCAAGGCTATCCCTCCACCAAGTATGCACATGCTCTGAATTTTGAGGTCCTGTTTCTGTCATATTTTTAGATACACTTCTTTGCTGCTGTACTAATTCCTCTCCCCACTACTATCCATAAATTGTTTTATCCTAAACTGCTGTGGGCTAGGAAATCAAAATAATTAGAGGTTGCTCAAATAAAATAAGAAAAACTTGAGTTTGAATGAGACTTGAAGGGATCTCTTGTGAGCAAATCTCTTGAGCTTTAGTACACAAACTTTGTGTTATGTGCTTTAACTTTCACTGGATAGGTGGTTTTCAGATAAGTGCTATTATGTCTAACATAGGAAATGTTTTTGTACTTTTTTTAAACAGAGAAGAAGATACAGAAAATGAAAATGAAAAGAAAATTTGGTACTATAGTACAAAGGTCCAGCTCGCAGAATTAATTGACTGTCTAGACAAAGACTACTGGGAAGCAGAGCTCTGTAAAACTCTGGAAGAAATGCGCGAGGAAATCCACCGGCACATGGACATAACTGAAGACTTGACCAATAAGGCTCGGGGCAGCAACAGATCCTTTCTGGCGGCAGCTAATGGTGAGAGGGAGATTTTCTCATATTACTTTTTGTTAAATTTGAAATAAACTCTTGTAATGAAGTCACTACAAAATTTGAAAATGTATTAAAAATTTCAAGTGTGTATATTTTACTTGAAATCTCTATATTTCATTTTACCAGGAAAAACCATGTTCATCTCAACATAAATTAGTGATGCTACTTACTTCATAGAGCTTTATATCTCGTCCTTGTCATTACTGATATTCCCCAAATTGTTTCTTTTTTATTTTTAAATCCTCACCTGAGGATATGTTTATTAATTTAGAGAGAGAGGAATGGGGGGGGGGAGAGACATCAATTGGTTGTCTCTTAGACATGCCCTGACCCAGGATCGAGCCCACAACCTACACTATAAATAAATGTAGAACAGTTATATCTCCTCTGGTGCAGAAAAATCCCAAATAATGTATGTCAAGGGCTGCTCCCTCAAAGAGTGTGCCCTGAGTGGGAATTGAACCTACAACCTTTTGGTATATGGGATGATGCTCCAACCAGCTGAGCCATCAGCCAGGGCTTATTTGTTTCTTTAATTCAGCTAACTTATTAAACCTTTTTGAGATTTATCTATCTATCTATTTATCTATCTATCTGAGAGGGAGAGGGAGAAATAGAGGGAGAGAAATGGCAATATGCAAAGAGATACAGGTTGCCTCTCTCATACCCCCAACTGGGGACCTAACCTGCAACTCTGGCATGCGCCCTGACTGGGAATCGAACTGGCGACCTATTGGTTCACAGGTCAGTGCCCAATTCAATGAGCCACACCAACGAGGGTGGGAATCCTATTTTTAATTATGAGAAATAGTATTCTTTTTGAATTTACTCTTTGCTTTTTTAAAAAAATAAAACTTAATCTTAGAATAATATTTGAGTTACAGAAAAGTTGACAGGACAGTACAGGGAGTTCTACCAGATTTCCTCTATTATTAACATGTTAAGTTACTGTGGTACATTTGCCATAGCTAATGAACCAGTAGTACATTATAATGACTTGTCTATGCTTTAGTCCGATTTCCTTACTTTTTATCTAATACACTTTTTGTATCTCATGATCCCATCTAGGATACCATATTATAGTTCGTTATCTTGTCTCTTTAGTTTCTTCTACACTGTCACAGTTTCTTAGTCTTTCCTTATTTTGATGAGCTTAACAGGTTTGAGGGGTACTGATCAAGCATTTAGCAGAATATCCCCAATATGGGTTTGCCTCATGTTCTTCTTGTAGTTAGCCTGGGGTTATGGATTCGGGGGAGAAAGACCACAAAGGTCAAGTGCCATTCTCATCATCTTATCAAGAGTACATGCTATCAACATGATGTACCACCGACTCCATTAACCTTGATTATCTGGTTGAGGTAATGTTTGTCAGGTTTCAACATTGTAAAATAATTCCTGCCACCCCATTCTGTGCCTTTGGGAAGAAAGTCACTATGCACAACCCACACTGAGGGGTGGGGTGTCACGCTCCACCACTTTGAGGGAGCAGCCCTCGACATAAATTTTTTGGGATTTTTCTGCACAAGAGGAGACATAACTGTTCTACATTTATTTATAGTCATTTATTTATATCTGTACAGATTCACTGATATTTTAATTTTATACTTGGGATTATATTTCAATTACTACCTTATTTATTTTGTTGCTGAACTTTTTGCTATTTAAAAATTCTTTGCTTTTTAAAAGATAATCAGGTGCATATGGTTTTTTAAAAAAAGTTTAAATAGTACAAAAACTTATACAGTGAAAAATAAATCTCTGACCTTCATAATCCACAGTTTCGCTTTCCTTTTTCCAGAGAAAAACCATTATTGCCGTTTTCAAAAATCCTCCAAGATACACTCTATGTTGTTTAATAAGTGTCACCTGTGTTTTCTTTTTGAGGTCTTCCAACATGTTATTAGAAAGAATGTAGACATTAAAAATATCCCTACTGTCATGAGCATAAATGAGGTTTTCAGCCCTGGTATAAGCTGGATCAAAAATAAAAATAAAAAAAATCCAGTAGTGTATTAACTTCTTTTCACTCATTGTCATACTGATAGTGCAAATACAAATTCGGTCTAACTGTACAGCCTTTCTTCATCCTCCATATTAAGAGATGTAAAAGTTTTACGGTCAAACAATACCAAATGTACAGGCTTTAAAAACTGTCTAAGTTAGGGCATTAACTAGTTTTAGCTAAGATGCGTTTGGAACACTGACTAGTGATCACTTACATACATAATTTGAAGTAAATTTTTTTGAAAAAATAAAACTTTAGTGGGACAATCCCAAAAATTACACCAGAGGAACAACAGGTTACCAGTTTAAGGTATCAACCAATTTATTTCAGCCAGTTTGAGTCCACGTTCTAAAATCTAAGTTACCTTTCTGTAATCCAAGAACTTCCTATCATGTCAGTATCTATGTTACAAAGTAAAGGAGACTTAAGTGAAATGTTTTTTGTCACAGCTGCTATATGAATTGCCTAGGGCCTCAACAGCGTCGTGGAAGTCTGAGAAATGTTCATGCATAAGGTTATTGCTTTAGTTGACTTAAAATTGCCCCATACAAACCTTAGTGAAGCCTTTAAGAAAACAGGTTGAAAAATGGGTTTAAGGCGACAAATGCAGCATCTGCCTTTAAAGCTATCAATTCAGGAATTCTCTAATTATGAAATCTTGCAGAGAAGTGATTATTCTTTCTCAGAATTCAGTGACGACATATTCCTTACTTCAGATCTAGCATTTTTCATCATCATTGTCATCATCTGCTCCATCTGCTTTTAGTAAATCTACATCCCCATCACCACCTGTGTTGTTCAGCATCTCAGAAAGTCAAAATTAGATGTGTCTTCATCTGAATCATCTTAATATTTCCAATTACTGAAGTTCACACTAAGCCAATTAACCATTGCTCTTTCTTTTGTTAACCTTGGCCATGGCAGGTCAGATTTTCCTTTTCCTAAACAACATAAAATTGATCTGTCTATTCTTTTATGCTTGGAACCGTCTGGATCTATACAGTGAAAAAGACCAAATTCATTTAAATGTTTAAAATTATCACTTCCTTCAAGACAACTAAATGTAAATTTGGATTTTTCAAAATTTACCTCAACGTTTTTACTGTTTTCAATACAAAATTCAATGAAGGACACAGTCCCTTTGATTATAGCACTTTGCAGAGGCAGGCTGCATTCTGAACGGAGCAGGGGATGGGTGAATAGCTGGGTGGGACTCTCCAGCAGCAGCTGCTGGGCAGTGGGCTTTTCTCACTTCCTTAAGGCAGTGAATGCATAAATGGGTAGAACAACTAATCCATGTTTCTCTTTCTCCCTTCTTTCTCTCTCTTCCCCACTTTCATCTCTTTCTCTAAAATCAATTTTTTTATTTATTTGAGGAAGTATATGAGAGAAAGAGAGGAAGAGAGAGAAACATGGATTTGTTGTTGCACTTATTTATGCTTTCATTGGTTGATTCTTGTGTGGGCCCTGACCAGAGATTGAACGTGCAACCTTGGCTTATGGGGAGGATGTGTTCTAAACAACCGACTTAACTGGCGAGGGGTTCTAGAGGGGTTCTTTAACTTGGGATTTTGAGAGGAAAACGGCAGAAACTCCTGGGGTTCTGAACTAGCCAAGAATAATTTGAGTATCATAACAGTAATTTCAGAGTCACAGCCTGTCCTAGTGACTTGACATTTTTAACCCCTCAAATAGCACACATCCTTTTACACTTAGAACCCTGTGGTTTTTATATAGATATTTGTCTACTTTAGGAGAGTTTAATTCTGCTTTTGGGAGTGGAATTTTTATTTTTTCTTTTTCCTAATATGAAAATTTTCAAATATACAGAAAGGTTGAAAGAATTATACAGTAAACACCTACATGTGCATCATTTAGATTCTACAATTTACTATATATGTGTAACACTATGGTTTACTATATTTGTTTTATCATATATATTTATGGTGATTGTGTTTTATAATGCTTTATTTTGCTCATTTGGAGTTTTTTTTTGAATACTTCTAAAAAATTATTTAAAATTATTTATTGATTTTATTTTGAGAGAGAGACAGACATTGATTTGTTGCTCCACTTATTTATGCACTCATTGGTTGATTCTTGTATGTGCCCTACCAGGGATTGAACCTGCAACCTTGGCATTGCTAGGATGACACTGTAACCAACTGAGCTACCCAGCCAGGGCCAGTAATAAATTTTTCTAAGTAGAGATTGTTTAAAAATCTAGTATGTTAATTCAGTTTAGCTTTGAAATATTCTTGCAAAGTATATGGAATATACATACATGTTTATAGAATGTGTGTTAAACTGATTATTTTTTCTTTCATCCTTTAATGTTGTTTTCATCCCCTGACTTTTTTGGTTTGTATTTCTTATGGCTATGGATGCCATAGTTTTTAAAATCTAAAGCAAGCACATCTAGATTGATAAAATATATGTATGCCTAATGGAGTGGTAACATGATAGAATATTTGAAATTAGAACTTTTATACAAAGTCAGAGACTTGTCATTCTGCCTGTGCTTTTCATCTAATTTAGATGGTCTAAACTTAATAGATCTTGGGAAGTTGGGCACGATGTACAACAGTTTGGTTAGGGAAATCTGGCAGTGGAAGATGAGGGTGAAGCTGTTTTGGGGGAAAACAGCTTTTAAAGAGTGATTTGAGATACTTCAATCGATAAGTTTTGTGTTCCTAGCATGAGTAAATGTAGCTAGAGTAAATCAGAACTGAAAATAGTATGTTTAGATAGGTCAAGGGATGCAAACAAATAGTATAGAAAAGGATCCTGGGTGCTTGCTTCTGCAGCACATATACTAAAATTGGAAGGATCCAGATAAGATGAGCATGGCCCCTGCTCAAGAATGACGCACAAAGTCGTGAAACGCCCCATATTGAAAAAAGAAAAAGGATCCTGGGATGACTTGGATGATGAGAAAGACAGAAAATACGCCAGTTGGAATTACTTCCATTTGAAATTTTCCTGTAGCTATCTTAGATGTTCATTGCCTCCAGATTCTTACATGAACTAGTGGCGGGGCGGGGTGGGGCGGGGATTAACTCCCACCAGCTCGAACATAATCACTTTACCAGAAAGGTCAGTATTCTGATAGGGTTTTTCCAACCCTAATTATAGGGTAATTCTAGGAAACATTCTGGATACCTACAGTTTAAGAAATGTTGACAAAAATGGAGGTAGAAAACACTGAAAGAAAATAGAAACAAGGAAATGTTAAAATCCAAAAAGAAGTACGATGGGTTCATGGCATTAAAAATGTTTCTTCTTGTTCACAAACAGTGTATTCTAGGTGGTAAATCAAATTCTCATGGAGGTATACGGTGTATCGATTCTGAAGCTACTATGGATACTAGTATTAACCAAATAGATATATTGTAGATACTGTGAACTATGTTTCTTTCCTCAGAGAAAGAAGTTACAAAGAAGCAGCAGAACAATGCTTGAATGAACCACATACAGATAGTTAACATTTAATAATAATGTGAATTGAAACTCTTAAGTGGCATTTGTATTACTATTGTATTTGATATATATGGCAACAAAGTTTTTTTTAAATCTGTTTTTATTACAGAAGAAATTTTGGAATCCATAAGAGCAAAAAAAGGAGAGATTGATATTGTTAAAAACCCAGAAGAAATAGAAAAGGACAACAGTGAAACTGAAAATAACTCCAAAGATGCTGACAAAAACAGAGAGGAATTTGAAGACCAGTCCCTTGAAAAAGATAATGATGACAAAACACCAGATGATGATCCTGAGCAAGGAAAATCTGAGGGTAAAAAATTTACTTGGTTAAACAAATATTTCATTAGTGTTATTTAGGAAATCTCCAGTTTTACTTGCAAAATGAAAGTGAATCATTTTTATACAAACAACTATTTAATTTTACATTTCTAAAGAGAATAAGATACCCTTCTCCTTTGTAACATACATAATCATTGTAGTGAGTTTTATATATATTGGTAGATTTTCTATAACGTTATACTCATATCTCTCTTTATACTTCCTAATAAGGTGCCATTTCCCTATGAGATTTGTTGGTGAAAAATCATTACTTTAATACCAGAACATACACTTTTATGTGTGATAAAATTTGTTCATTTTCATATTAATTACTTAAACGTTCTTAACATGTTGAGTATCCTTAAATACTCTTTGGGTTACCTACTGCAAAAATAGCCCAAAATCTAATAGCTTCAAAATGGCCATCAAATAAAATCAGGATTTTTGGTGACCATTCATTTTTAGTAGCTGATTAAATGAGGCCATGTGTCCTAAAGCAATTTTAAAGGATATTTTTAAAGTTTTGTTGTGCATTTTACTGTAGAGCCAACAGAAGTTGGGGATAAAGGTAACTCTGAGTCAGCAAATCTTGGCGACAACACAACAAATGCTTCTTCAGAAGAGACTAATCCCTCTGCAGGGAGGAGTCCTGTGGGGTGTCTCTCAGAAACCCATGATAGCAGCAACATGGCAGAGAAGAAGGTGGCATCTGAGCTCCCCCAGGATGTACCAGGTACAGAGGGCAGTGTATCAATGCCTCTGTAATGGGGGGAATCCTTCCCTTTTGTAGTAAAAGCTGAATGTCACCTACAACTTTAAAGTATATGTTCATTCATGCTGCTTGCTTACATAAATACCATCCCTGATTGCTAAATTGTCACCTAACATTTGGAGTTTGACAGTGTTCTTGCAGTTAGTGCTTGGAACTCATCATAATCTTCATGCTTTTTTAAAGTTCATTTAGTTGTTTTTGTCTAATAGACTTATTTGTATATTTTATCACCAGACCATAGTGGCACATATTTTGGTTTTAAGTACTTACATACTAATGGCTCAGTGTTGAATGATTTGACCATTCCAGTTCTGTATGTGCTAACAGATTAATTTTATGTTTGCATGTGCTTATGTAGTTATTTTAACATTTCAAACCATATCATAATAGTAAACCATTGTCATAAAACATTTTTTGCAAGATATATTTGACCTAAAAATGTAAGGTAATTACTAATTAATATTTTAAGCATTTTAAAGTTAAAATTATACTCAAAATAAGTTACATTACCCCAAGAATGACATTGTGCCTTTCTTTTTTTGCAAATTTTTAAAAATGAAAAGGAATTTTTATTGTAGCTATATGTATTTTTCAACAAATTAGAAAGATGGACAAAACAAGAAGATAAACACTGGTCATTCCACTAGAAACCAAGAATTGTAGTTAATAACCTTGATGGAAATCTTGATTGATTTTGTTTCTATGCATTATAAAAATTTCATATAATTCTTTCCTCTTCTCTGTCCCCTTTATTTCAGCCATTTTTGTAGGAATGTAGGGATATCTTATTCTAGTTTAAACTTGCAGTTCCCTTGTGACTAAGGATGTCGAGCACATGTGTGCATGCGCATACATATATGTGTATATACAGGTCTTTGGGATATCTTTATTTGTGAAGCCTATGGGTTCCTTTGTTAATTTTCTGCTAAGTGGTGTCTTATTTTGTCTGTGGTTGTTTTCATGGGTGAGTGTAAATTCAGTCCCTCTACTCCCATCTTCACTGGAAGCAGAGGTTCCTACATTGATTTTTTTTTTTTAAACTGTTACCCCAATCTCATACTCTTAAAATAAATACCAGTTGGTGTGATATATTTTCATTCCTATCTATTGTTGCATCCACGTTATTATTTTGTTTAGGATTTTTGTATCTACTTTCATGAGTGAGGTTGGCTTACAGTTTTCCTTCTCTGATAATGTCCATGCCAGCCTTCAGTGTCAGGATTGTGCTGGTCTCATAAAATGAGTTGGAACAAGTTCCCATTTATCCTTGTCTGCAAGAGTTTTGTGGGTTGGTGTTAGTTATGCCTTAAATGTTTGTTGAAGCCATCTGGTCCTGGAGTTTTAATTACGGGAAAGTTACTCATTGTAGATTTCATTTCTTTGGTAATAGTGGACTCTTCATATTTTCTGTTTGCTCATATCAGTTTAATAAATTACACTTTTCTAGGAATCTACCCCATTTCATTTAAATTTTTAATTTTATTGCCATAAAACATACCATCTTTTTAATGTTTATGGCATCTATAGTGATACCGTCTCTTTTCAGTCCAGAAATTGGTTACCTGTTCTGTCTTAATCATCTCACTTTTAAGTTTTTTTTATTTAACTTTTATTTGTCTTTAAAAAGTTACTTTTGTCTTTGTTGATTCTCTCCACTGCATGTTTTTTCTAGTTTATTTATCTTTATTAATTCCCTCCTTTGCATTTTTGTGGCTTTTAAACACGTCCCCCACACACAATTTTTTAAAACCACTTTTTTTTAAAGATTTTATTTATTTACTTTTAGACAGAGGGGAAGGGAGGGAGGAAGAGGAGGAGAGAAACAAAAATCTGTGAGGGCTACATTAATCAGTTGCCTCTCCCATGGCTCCAACTGGAGACCTGGCTCATAACCCAGGCCTGTGCCCTAACCTGAAATCAAACTGGCCACCCTTTGGTTCCTAGGCTGGCACTTAATCCACTGAGCCACAACAGTTAGGGCTAAACTACTTTATTGAGGTATAATCAACATAGAAAAAGCTGTACATATTTAATATACAATTTGATGAATTTGGAGATAAATATACAATCATGAAACCACCACCACAATCAATGGCATAAACATATTTATCACCTCCAAAAGTTTCCTAAACCCTCTTATTTTTTTCCTAACTGCTTGAGACAGACACTTTGATTTTTAGATTTTCTTTCTTTTTTCTATGTCTGCTGTTGAAGCTGTTTGTTTCCCTCTATGTACTGCTGTAGCTGCATCTCATAATGTCATATTGTCTTTATCATTCAGTTTAAAATATTTTCTAATTTTCATTATGGTGTGGCTTTATTGTTATTTTTTTTAACCCATTGCTTATATAGAAGTATATCGCTTAATACCATAACATTTGGAGATTATTTGTTATCCTTCTATTATAGATTTCTAGTTTAACCCACTGTAGTCAGAGAACATTCTGTGTGTGATTTGTTTAGGATTGTTTTATAGTCCAGCATTTGGTTAATGTTGTTAAATGTCTCATATACACTAGAAGAGGATATTTATTTTTAGTTGTTGGGTACAGTGTAGGACAGTTAGATCAAGGTATTGTAATGTGTTGTTCAAATCTATATCCTTGCTACGTTTTTTCCCCTCTCTTCAAGATACTTTTAAATTATTTCTAACTATATATGTAGAGATCCCTTTTTCTCTTTTAAATTTTTCACTGTTTGCATAATATAGTTTTAGGTTATAGTACTAGTTGCTCATAATTTTTCTATTTTCTTGTTTAATTTTATTATAGTGATATATCCTTTACCTTAATTTTATTATAGTGATATATCCTTTACCTTTTTTTTTTTTTTTAAGATTTTATTTATTTATTTTTAGAGATAAGGGGAAGGAGGGAGAAAGAGAAACATCAATGTGTGGTTGCCTCTCGAGCACCCCCTTACTGGGAACATGGCCTGCAACCCAGGCATTTGCCCTGACTGGGAATCAAATTGACAACCCTTTGGTTTGCAGGCTGGCACTTAATCCACTGAGCCACACCAGGCCAGGCTATTTTTAATAGTGTTTCTAAGCTACCACAGCTTACTTTTGATTAGTGTTTGTATTGTATATCTTCTCTGGAATAGAAGGAGCTTTTAAATAATCTGGGAATTTTAAATCTTTTTAGAAATCCATCTTCAGAAAAATCTGTAGAAATATATCTACTTTAGAATTTCTTTTGAAATACACATTATTTCAAGCTATATCTTTTTAAGTCTAGTCAGACAGCACTGTTATTTTCATGTAATATGATAAATGACGTTATGTAAAGGAAAAATTAGAAATGTGTGGTCTAAAAATCTGTACGAGTGAGGAGCATAAGAAAAATGGGCAGATTTCATACTGGGTATGAATAGTGATCACAAAGATTTTATGTGGCTAAGCTTGAATATTAAACTGAAAAGTTGGGCCATATTTGGGGAAAGGTTAGTGGACATCACTTTAAGAAGTTACTCTCCTAATACTTTTTGCTCAGTTTTTTTTCCTTCATCTACATTACAGACATTTCATTTTAGTCTATGAACATGCATATATTGCCCCAAACAACCCCATATAGCAAGTGTTGTTTTTTATCCAGTACAACTTCTTTGTAGTTGTCAAAAGGCTTAATTTCAGACTTACATTTTTGTCCTGGCATTTAGATTAGAAGCTTGTTGTACCTGAATTTATTTTTAAATTTATTAAGGGAAAAAGGGACACATGTCTTTGTAGCATCTTAAACTCAAATCTACCATGAGAATTTGTATTTAAACATATAATGCAGACAACGTTTGTTTTATTTAAGTTATGCCTCTAGATTTCATGCCTGGGATTAGGAAAATAGTAGCAGTAGATAAAACTTTATTTCTATAACTATATATAATTGCTTTGAAAATATTTCCATGAACGTCATGAAACTTTAACATGTGTAAAATTGAACTGCAAGAACTTATGGATTTTAACCTTATTGACTTTTTACCTTTTTGGGATAACAGCATCTTAAAATATAATACTGTGCTTTTGTTTTGAATTATACTGCAAGAGAAATTCAGTGCCTAAGAAGTTGTTTATACTGAATGCTGAACTAATATATTGCCCATACATATTTACCTCACTGATTTGATCAGTAATGACTTTTGAAGGTTCTGCAGTTAAATACTCATTTCTTTTTATTTTTAATGTGTTTTATTTTAGTTTCTAGTTATACCTGTTCTGGTTATTTATTTTACCTCGTGTGTTTTGTTTTAAAAAATTTCCTTTTATTGTCAGGTGGAAAATTACTTTTTTCTCCTTGTAGTTTTTTTCTTAAAAATTTTTGGGGTTTTTTTTAGGCTTTGGTGTTTATGTTCAAAAGTGAAGATCAAGATCTACATATAATTTTGGTTTGAGGGATAAATCTAAAAATTTTTCTGTTTTTATTAATTTACAGTGTTTGTCATGTCCAAGGAAAATAGTATTGTAAACACAAAACTTGTACTATTTGCTGTGGGACTAGAACATTTGGACTCTGAGAATTAAAGTGTGCATGTTGGAAGGTGATACCTTTTTTGTGGTGTTTTGAAGCAAATGCTGGAGATTTCCTTAATCCTGTAGCCTAATTAAGTAAAGAGGTAAAGAGTTCTAGAACTATAATTTTTTAAAAAATCAGTATTCTCAACCAAAATGGAGGAAAACAGTTTTCCACTTAAATTAACTTGGGACAAATTAACAAAGTTTAGGGTAGTCCTCAGCTCAGTAACACCTTGAAAGATTAAAAGGATACACTCTGAATTCAGTTTGCTTTCAGTGGGTTAGTTTTTTTTTTTAGATCAGAATACCTAGGTAGGAGATTGATTGCCTATTATTTTTTGCAGTACCATTATCTCCCTAATAGCAGAGAAGTTTCTACAAAGTTTTTTTTTAAACAATTAGAGGAAGGGAGCGAGAAAGAGAGGGAGAGAATCATGGCTTCTTGCATGCCTCCAAATGGGTGCCCAGCCTGCAACCCAGGCATGTACCCTGACCGGGAATGAATTGGTGACCTTTTGGTTTGCAGGATGCCTAACCCACTGAATCCTACCAGGGAGGGCTATAAAGTGTTTTAGGATTATATATAGCCAAAATCTCTTACTTATTTATTTAAAATACTCTATTTATTTATTTATTTTTAGGGGTGGGGAGAAAGAGGAGAGAAACCTGAGTGTATGATTGCATCTTGAGTGCCCCCTACTGGGAAGCTGGCCCCAAACCCAGGCATGTTCCCTGCCTGGGAATTGAACCTATGACCGTTCGGTTCTCAGGCTGGCGCTCCGTCCACTGAGCCACACCAGCCAGGACAGAATCTTTTTTTAAAATCGTTACTCTATTACAGTTGTCCCAGTTTTTTACCCCTTTGCCACTCCTCTGCCCAGCCCAACCTTCCCCTCCCTGACTCCCACAGTCAATCCCTTGTAGTCAGAATCTCTTTAGGTTCCAATCCCAGAGTTATTTTCTTGGTTAAAACCAAACTTATGTATACTATGTTTTAAAAAGTATTTGTAGGCAGGTCTATAACTTGATATATGTTAAAAATATATTTCTATCAGAAAATGCACTCTGAACTTATAAATGAGGGGATATCATTATCATTATATATTTTATTATTTGAGATGTTTAGACAATTATAAATTAAGTATCCTACACTTTAGAAATCTAGATCTATAGCTGTAAAAGGAATGATTAGTGAGGTCTCTCAGGTAATTTGTATGACTTACCTCTTCCAGTTACATGTATTTTTCCTACATGAGTTAGTTGATTGTAGTCCTGAAATTTTAAATTTGCCATTTATATCTTTCATAGAAAATGGTCTTATTATCAAAAATTTTAAGCGTGCACAGAAGTTAAGAGAATAGTATAATGGACTATATCTAACATGTAGATTTAAAAAATTATCAAGATTTTCTTTTGCCTCACTCATGCTTTTTTAAAATGCATTTATTTTCCTGTTTTTGGCTTAGATTTAAAAAATTTCTCCCCTTTGATCTCAGGAGTACAGTATTAGCTATATCAAAATCCTTAGTTAATTGCATTTATCACTATTCCTTGCATAGTCCTTCTTAATTTATTCATTCAGACTCAAAATTGTCTTTAATAATGACATAAATACCTAGGAACCTATCACCCAAAACAAAAAGCAAAGTCGTCCTGCTTTTAAACTAACCTGCATCTAACCATCTCCCCTGTTCCATCTTCTGCCTCCCGCTCCCCTACCTGAAGTCATTGTTATCCTGAATCCTGTGTTCACTAATACCTTCTTTCCTTCTTATAGGGGAAACCCGATAGGAGTGACTGTTGATAACTGATTGTCAAAGTGATATGTAACCCACATACTCTTGCCATATTGAGTTGAGCTATATGATTTGCTAAAAACTATTTATTTCTGTTTTTGTTATTGTAAATTTTACAGCAAGTGTATTGTGTTAAGTATATTTTATTAAGTGTATTGTGTTAAGTGAAATTTTTAGGAACTTTATATTTTCACTTTATATTATATTACTAATATAATGTATGTTGCTGGAGTTCTTTCATATTAACTGCTTGCTTTATAATAATTCCTCCATGTAACTATACCAAAGTTTGTTTATTCCCTTTCCTGTTGATGTGAATTTGAGCTGTTTTCTACTGCAGTATTTTAAAGCAAATTCCAACCATTATGTTATATCAATCCTGCATACACTTCTAAAGAATATTGACACTGTTTTACATAATTACAGTGCCATTGTCATTTTAATAAAATTGGTAACAGTTTCTCAATATCTAATCAGTTTAAATTTCCTCACTTAAAAATGTTGTTTTGTTTTACATGTGCTGTGTTTGAAATAACTTCAAAAAGGTCCTCGTATAACACGACATTTGGTTTTATATCTCCTGCATCTCTTAATCTAAAGTGCTTCCCTCTTCCCTGACTTTTTTCTTTCACATGCTGTTGACTTATTGAAGAATCATAATGTGTCCTCCTATGGAATGTCCCCCATCCAGGATTTGTCTGTTTCCTTCCTCTTGGTGGTAATTTGTTCTGAAGCTTTGATTCATTTCATTTTCAACTATTTTTGGCCAGAATACTTCATAATTCTGTTCTATTATATATTTTATCACATCAAAAGCTCGTGATGTCTGTTTTGCCTTTACGAATGCTAAGATTGATCAGTTCAGGTGGTAACATTGTAAAGTTCCCTGTTAACCTCTCCGCCATTGATGATCTTCCCAGAATCGTTACCTGTGTAGAGATTATAATATGGTGATTTCTAATTCTTTTTTCTATTTTTTAAACTAGAATTATTCTGTAAAGAATTTTCCCTCATTAACTAAGGTTATTTGTATTTGAATACCTTGAAATATAGTTAGAACAGGATTAAATGCTTAATTATTTCTCTTCAATTCTAATTTTCAGAGTCTGTAATTGGTGTCCAGTCACCTTCAGTGGTGATTCATGAGTTACGGACTTTGCGGGGAGGACTTTTGGCTTTCTTATTTTAAGTATCCGTTGAACTCATGGGTCTTCATATATTCATTTTCTTTTGGTTGTAGTTACCATTCATTTTGCTTACGTTAACCGACGGAGCCCCTTCATGTTGGCTTTTGAGTCCTTTTGCCATGACACCAGTAGTCTTACGTAGCTTCCTTGCTTTTTGGCAGAATAAAATGTTTGATGCTTATCTTACACGTTTTCTGCCCTAGACCTGGAATCAGTCATTCCTCCAAGAAGCCCTGGTTTCTTTTAGTGGAAAATGCTATTTTGAGACTGCATTCTGGGCTTCAGAGTACTTATTGCTCTTGGGCTCTCACTGCCTCTCAGGTTTTTTGGTGGGTAGTATTAGAAAATACCTATTTTTAAGAGAAAAAGACCATTGATTCACATTGACATTTTAAATTCAGATTGAGGATTGTATACTAGGTTTTTTTGTTTTGATACCTGTATCTCTTTTCCCTTACCTTGAAAGCCTTAGTTCCTAACAATATAGTAACTTGATTATATATTGGCTTTATCCTGATAAGATATTCATTAATAATAATATATTATTAATGTGCATTAAAATAGTAATAAATGATTTTATAAATTATAGTAATATCCTAATACTGATATTATTGCTAATAATAAGGCTACTTAGTGGCAGTGAGGATTTTTTGTAGTTCTTATTTATCCTTATATTTCTAATAAGGATGTATAGTCAAAATACTGTGTTACAAAGTCACTTGAAATAATTGTGTTTATACCAACAACTTGATGCTCAGGGTTTATTTGTTTCAGTTTGTTATAATTTAAATTTTTAAAAAAATGTAAAACATTTACATGATTCCAGGGTCAAACTATGTAACTGTATGTGTGCAGAGAACTTTCACTTCCACCTCTTCCCTCTCTAGGTATCCAGATCCTTCCCATCCCTTATGGGTACCATTCTGGTTATTCTTCCATTTTTTAAAAAATAAAAGCAAAATGTGTTTACAAATTCATATTTCTTTCCCCTTCTTGCACAATAGTTAGCATACTACAAATGCTGATACATGCCCTTTTTTTACATTTAATTTTGAGATCATTACATAAATAGATACTGTGATTTCCTCAATCCTTGTTATGGTATGAGATATTTCATTGAATGTATCATCTTTTATTCAACCAGTGCTCTATTGACAGACATTTTGTTTGTTTCTGTCTTTTGCCATTAAAAGTAATGATGCAATGAATAGCTCTGTAAATAAATGATTTCGTGTTTTTGCCAGTGTATTTTGGGATAGGTTTCAGGACATGGGATTGCTGAAAAGTAAATGCATGTGTAATTTTTCTAGATAATCTAGATTATCTAGATAATTTTTCTAGATATTTTTCTAGATAAGCTATTTCTAGGAGCTTTTACTCAACTGTGTACCATTTTTCATTCCCACTGCCTCTCCACCTGAGTGTATTGTGAGACTTGGAATTTTGCCAGTCTGATAGTTGAGAAGTTGTTTCTCGATGTAGTTTTAGTTTGCATTTCTCTTGGTATAAAGACCGGTTTTTATTTCTTTTGTGACTGTTTATATAATTTCTCATTTTTCCATCAAATTGTTGGGTCTTTTTCCCCTCAAAAAATATTTAGGAGCTTACTGTATTGGAGGTAGCCTTTGTGATTTACTGTTGACCACTTTTTAATTTAGGTGATTGTTTTAAAGAGTATCTTGTGGGTGGCAGTGAAATGCTTAGAGGGATTTAAGTTTCTGAATTACGATGGGAATGGGAAGATCTAGGCTATCAGTTCATGAATAGTGTTCATTTTGATACACTTTCAGGAGCTATTCTTGTAGTGATACTATTAAGTTCTTAAAATTAACAGTCACTTAGGTATGACCTTTTAGGTAATTTGAAGGCATAGAATTCAGGCAGGAAATTTTAGAGGTAAAGAATCCTGTTTAAATCTGTTTCTAATACTGTTCGGATACTTGTTGAAAAGTAAGAACATAAATTTCATATTTTGAGAGATGATTAAAAAAAACCCCGAAACTTATGCAGTATCTGGTATATCATAAGTTTTTTTGAGATAGTTATATCGCTTTATTATTCTTCAGCTCTGGGTATATCTGAAAAATTGTCCGCTTTGTACTGTAGACTAAAATAATAAAAGTCTGAGTTAATAGCATGGGAGACCTAAAAAATAATTCATGGGGTATTGCTTATAAATTTCTTTTTATACACTGCATTATTCATACATGAGCAGCTTTTCTTTTTAAAGTAATGCAGTCCTAAAACAATAAAATGTTTTTTTTCTGACAATTAGTTATTTTTTATGTGATTTCCAATTTAAAAATCAGGTATTCTATTTTTCTAGAAGAACCTAACAAGACATGTGACAGCAGTAACACTAGTGCTACCACTACCTCCATTCAGCCTAATCTGGAAAACAGTAACAGCAGCAGTGAACTAAATTCTTCCCAGAGTGAATCTGCTAAGGCAGCTGATGATCCTGAAAATGGAGAAAGAGAGTCTCTTACACCTGTCTCTATTCAAGAAGAGATAGGTAAGAATACACTTCATACATTAAAGCAAGCTTTTAATTTTTTTAAAATTTTTAATTTTTTTAAATGAAGGTTTGATGGGGGTGGGAAGATTTAGATTTTCTTTTCCTTTTTTTTTCTCATTTCTTTTTTTAAACATGAGTAACACTTGCATTCATTATTTTTCTTTTCAAAAATCCAAAAAGCACCTAGGAAAAATAGATGTTTTTCACACCCTTTTCCCCAGAGGTAACCCCCATCAACAGTTTGGTGTGTAACATTTTTATCTTTCTCCATGCAGTTTCATTAATGTATGTATGTTTACAAAAAGCTTTTTTAAAAAATTTAAACAGGATCATTTTGCATGTATTGTTCTGCATCTTGTTTTTATTCACTCAGTAATACATGTAGTTGATCTTTTCATGTTATAAATTAAATTCATTCTTTTTTAACTGCTGCATGGTATCCACAGTATGGACAAACCATATTCATTTACTGTTTCTTCAGTAATGAACATTTAGACTGTTAACAGTTTTTTTTATTATTACATAGAGTGGTGGTTTTTAACATCCTCAACATTATTTTTGTGTACTTAATGTAAGTATGTTTGGCAGTATAGAAACAGTAAGTAGGATTGCTGGGTCACATGGTTAGGTGCATCTTAAAGTAGTGATGGCTACTGCTTCATTGTACAATAAAAGTGATTTATGTCAACAATTTACATACCTGTTTATCTCTTCATACTGTGACCTAAAGTCAGCATCATCAATCTCTTACATTTTTGCCAATGAAAAAGTATTTCATTTTAAAATTTGTAGATCCCTGCTTACTAATTTGTTCCAATTTCTTTTCATGTGTGTGTTCAACTCTCTGTGAATTGCTTCTTCATACAGTCTGCTAAATTTTTTCCTATTGAGTTTGGATATTTTTCCTTAATGAGTTTTAGGAATGCTTTATAAAGTATCATAGCTATTAGTCTTTTATTTTACACATATAGATATGTAGTCATTGCTTGTTTTTAACTGTTATCTTGTACAGAAATTTTTACACATTTATGTAGTTAAATTTATCAGTGCTTTTCTTTAGGGTTTCTCTGGATTTTTGTATCCTATTAAGGAAGATCATCCCTATCCCAAGATTGTACATATATTTTACAGTAATTTTGCATAGTATTTCTGTAACTTTGTTTTTAATACTTCTGGAGTATAGTTTCATGTACAGTATGAGGTGGAGATCTGTTTTAATTAGATTGTTTCAATTGCAAGTGACCAAATTATCTTAAGATAGCTTAAGTGAGAAGGGAATGTAATTACTCATGTAATGGAGAAATCTAGGCCATCATCAGGGATAACAAGACCCTCAGGTAGCAACACTCTTCCTACTTTCCTCTCTTTCACTATCACCTTTTGGATCTGCATATGTTTGTATGTTAACTTCATTCTCTCCTAATACAGGCAGACTTTTTCCAAGTGCCTGGGAAGATGGCATTAGCGGTTTGTATTCATATCTTTCCAAGGTCTGTGACCCAACGTCAAGGCCACTGCTACTCCAAATCAAAAGCCCTTGAGGAAGGAATATGAGTGGTCTATCTTGAATATATTGTTCCCACCCTGTGGCCAGGGCAGGCAAGGTATTATGATTGATGTCTCCAGGAAAAGTATATGATTGGAGCGTTGTAGGAATGGTTTCCAAAGAAAGAGGGATGCTGTAAAGATAGAAAACAGTAAATAACCACAATTTCACACTTTGGTAGCTCAGCAAAAACTTGTGTATTCAAATTCAAAGGTGCTCCTGCCTAACATAATGCAAAGATCTTGCCCACACGGTGAAACTTTTTTAAAAAAACCTGCTTCCCAAAATTATATCTGGTAATTGTAATTATACCTAATTTCTATTTCTGTGTTGTCTGTTATTTTTTTATTAGGTCTGGATGTGGCATATCTTAATCTTAAAATCCATGAGCCAAATTAGGAATTTAAATACCTTTAATACTCATTATCCTGATAGAGGGCATTCTTTTGTAAATCTGTCTTGCCATTGGTTTTCTGGGAGGATTGCTGTGGGTGAGAAGTGAGAAACATATGGGAAGATATCCCTTCTGGAGGCTGTTCTGCTTTAGCAGCCTAGTTCTGGCTGGCTGTTGTAAGAGGTGGATTCCTGAGTATTGCCGTAGGTTTGATAATCAAACATTCTAGCTTGACAGGTTTGGAATTTTCTCTGGCAGCAGCACTCCCTTATAGATTGCCTGGGTTTCCCAGCTAGTATCTAATGACCAGAAATGTGGTTCATGGTCCATGAAGATAAACCTCCTCTGCTAGCCCTCAGGTGAATAAAGTCTGTCTAGACTTCTGCCTTCTCACATTAAACAAGGAGCTGCAGAGACTGGGGTAAGGCACCTTTGTACTCTGCCTCCAGGCTACATCAGAGTGATCCACTCCTTTATGGCCTTTGGACAAGGGGTATTAGATAAGAACCTCCACTCTTGGCCTGGCTTCCTTCCAAGTCTTACTACCCCTAGAGATGAATTTTCTGCCTCCTTTCCCTTACTTGCACTGAATTTAGCAAGTGACAAAAGATAGACCCTCAGGCAATATTGGATTGTTGTGTCCAAACTGAAGGACCTCTTTTTAGAAGCCCTGTGCCATTCCCTTTCTACTTATTTGGAAGTCCAGCCTAGACCAAACAATGTCTAAAAAGTCTTCATAGTAGGACTTTATAGATGGTCCTAAGATGTAGCAACCATAGTTCAACATAATGGCATAAACTTTCAGCATGGGCAGACTGCATCCTCTGGGACCCAGGGGAAAATTGTTGATAGTGCAGCCAGCTGTTTTGCTACCAAACATTGCAGGTTACTAGTTTTGTAGTCTGGAGTGGCAAAATACCCAGTGCCCTACCACATCTTGATTTAGCCAGTGCCATATTTTGGGGTCAAAATCTTAAAATACTCTGCTGGATTATTTAGAATTTGTGGATTATAAGTGCCAGAAATTCACCAGACTTACTTAAAACAAAAAGGGAATTTTATTGGCTCATACTGTTGGGAAGTGAAGAAGTAATGACAGCATCAGGTGCATTATTGAACCAAGTAATTACTCAAATGACGTTATCTCTGTTCTACCTCTCATGTTTAGCACTCCCCCTCACCTATTGCCATGGACCTATTATTGTCTCCTATTATTGGAAGTTTTTTCCATACTGTGGGGTAAAAGTAGCCAACCTTTCCGCTCTTTCTGCTCACTAATATCTTTCTCCATCTCCAGATTTTCTAAAACAAGACCATTCCTCCATCTCCAGATTTTTAAAATTGGAATAGGATGCTGAATGGTTTGGGCCACATAACCAGTTCTGGGACAGTCACTAAGGCCAACCAGTGATGTGCTCTGTCTGGCTAAGCTTGGTGATGTTGATCACTCCAAAGGGCAAGATACTTATTTGCAGTCTTGGCAAAATCACATGATTGTAGTTGGGGGAAATATGTATTCCCCAAAGGAAAGAAGCAGTGTTGAATACATAAAATTAAAAGTTTACTGAATTGTTTTAACTTTTGTAATTTCCATAATGGATAGCCAGTTTTCCCAATCCAGTATTTTTCTCTACTTAAAATGCCATCTTTATATTATAAAGTATAGTAAGTTTTCTGTTTGGTTTTTCATTTGCCAATGCCACACTGTCTTAATTTTATAAAGCTTTAAATTTTTAAAAAAGAAAAATGAGATCTGTTCAACTATATGACCAATGGAAATTAGATAGTGATGCAATCATTTTAGAATGTATAGAAATTTTCAGCCAAAGTGAGATTCATGGGAAAGCAGAAATTGCTCCTTGGCTATTAAATCTGTCACTATTAAAAATTAAGTTACTATGAAATGTGAGAGGTCTTTATTTTATTAAAAATAATTTAGTTGATTTTCACATGTATAATTATTTGCATATACAGATAATTATCTGGAATCTTCAGGAGAAAATTCACTTGGCATTTATATTTATAAGCTTTCAGCCATCAGGTATTTAAACAATTTCAATGGAAATCTTTTTAAAATTAATTATGTCTTTTACTTTTTTATATAGAAATTCACATTTATTATAAATGTAAGGCAATATTTTATTAATGGGCATTTTGAGTCACTGTGTTACTTGTAACTCTTAGCGGCCCTTCCTGTTTTCTAGTAGATGAGCTTTGAAACAGATAACCTGGCATTTTTGAAGTTTTGTAAAATAATTAATGACTCATAGTCAAGTTCTGATATAGTGTTCTTTTAAGTAAAATCTGTAAGAATTAATACATTTGTTTTGGCTCTTGAAGGACTTGTTCTGTTTACTTCAGGATCTTAGATGTGCACCAGATAAGAGTTTTGGATAAAGTAGTATTATACATAATTTAGTTGCTGTTAGCACTTACTTTTGGCTTTTCATTTGATAACAGGTGATTTCAAATCAGAGAAGTCTAACGGGGAAATAAGTGAGTCTCCTGGAGGTGGGCGAGGAGCATCCGGTTCAACTCGAATTATCACCAGATTACGGAATCCAGACAGCAAACTTAGTCAGTTGAAGAGCCAACAGGTGGCAGCTGCAGCCCACGAAGCAAATAAATTATTTAAGGAGGGTAAAGAGGTGGGTTCTTTCTGTTTAAAACAAACATTTCTCAAGTGTAAAATATGGCGCTTTTTTTTAACCATATATTAGAAATAGAGGTGGAAAGTTTATGGACCTTCTTTTGAACTGTAGTGTCCCCACTTCCAAGAGTGTATTGGCTAACAAGATCTAAAGTGTGAGGTTTATATTATAATTATGTATAGTTGTGCATCCAGATTTCCCCTGTGCATAGAAATGCTATAAATGGGTAGCATGCTTTTTAACTTTGTAGTTAGTTTTATTGTATGTAATTCTAAAGAGCTAGAGGCTTACTTTTCCACATACGGTAATGAGTACGCCATTTATGGGCATTATTAAAGAGTTGTAGATGATTTAGTGCTCAGATACATCTAGAATCATTTTAGGTGAGCCTGCAACTAAAGGATAGGGCTCACCCCTTCATGGCAGAGTACAGTACATGGAACAGCACAGCATCCCAGCTTTGATTATGAACAAAAAGATTAAAGCTAGAACTCCGTATTGCTTCCCCACCAACTAGCCATAGTGACAGAATAACGTCCACAGCTTTTGTCTCCCAGTTGAGAGTTATTTGCAAGGTAGATAAATAAGGATATACCTTGTTCTTTTCTTAACATTGTAGGAGTTGCTTTAAAGCAGTGGCTTTCAAACTTTTTTACTTTGACCCTCAGTAAGACATTTTTCATAGCAGCCCAGTACACACAAAGTTTCCTGGAATAGTATTTTACCTTAATATATGGGATGCACTCTTTTATGTTTTCTTCTATTGTATTATATTTCATTTTTTAAAAAAGCTGAGTAAGTCCCACTATTGATTTCATAGTCCACTAAAGGATTGGGATCAACTCTTTGAAAAAAACTATTTTATATTATTCTCGGGCTCTTATACTAGAGCTGAAATCGATAAAAGGAGCAGAAAGAAAGGTATTTTTAGGGGAATAGTACATGTAATGCCCTAGTCTTTTCCCCTAACCTATATATTGTAGGTTTGAAATAATGATTGGTGAGTGATTTACATATGTATTTCTGTATGTCTATTTGAGATACATAAAAGTACTTAATGTTTGACATATACTAGACACTTAATAGAAGTTATTTTTCTTTTTGCAGACATATCTTGGTTATTTAATTATAAACAATTAGCTTTAGTTTTTAAATTTTTAAAGTTCAGTCGTAGGATGTATCTTTTAACTGATTTGGAATGATAAATTATAAATTATTGAAAGATCAAATTTGCATATTTGATATGAACAATGGAGTCTTTTTATTTTCTTGGTCAGGTACTGGTAGTTAACTCTCAAGGAGAAATTTCACGGTTGAGCACCAAAAAAGAAGTAGTCATGAAAGGAAATATCAACAATTATTTTAAGTTGGGTCAAGAAGGGAAGTATCGTGTCTACCACAATCAATACTCCACCAATTCATTTGCTTTGAATAAGCACCAGCACAGAGAAGATCATGATAAAAGAAGGCATCTTGCACATAAGTTCTGTCTGACTCCAGCAGGAGAGTTCAAATGGAATGGCTCTGTCCACGGGTCCAAAGTTCTTACAATATCTACTCTGAGACTGACTATTACCCAACTGGAAAATAATATCCCTTCATCTTTTCTTCATCCCAATTGGGCTTCACACAGGTAAAGGAAACTAAAGTTCATTTATTGCTTTGAATATAATAAATGTTTACAAAATGATCATTGCAGGTATGTACTTTAAGTGGTTGTTACCGATGAATCGAATGAAGTCAATTTAGTCAGCAAAACACAGGATCTTAGGGATGTGAGTGTACTTCTAAGTAATTGAATCAACACTAACATTTGGGAGATTTCTGGAAAGCTGCTCTTTATTCCTGGAACCAAGTGGAGATCAAACAAAGTAATAGAACACTGTAGAAGGTTTAAGAAGTGAAGAACTAATCAACCTTTGGGATTCCTTCTAATGGTCAAAATTCATGGTTCTGTGAGGTAGAAGATTCCAGTAGCAGTATATTTATACCTGCTTAGCCTAGAAACATATGTCCTATAAGATGGAGGCATTATAAATTACAACACTTGTGCTTGTAATTTAGGATCAATGAAGTGAAATACTTTTTTTCCTTCTAAAATATAGGGCAAATTGGATCAAGGCTGTTCAGATGTGTAGCAAACCCAGAGAATTTGCGCTGGCTTTAGCTATTTTGGAGTGTGCAGTTAAACCAGTTGTGATGCTACCTATATGGCGGGAGTCTTTAGGACATACCAGGTAAGTGAATTCTGAGCCTCTTGAGTGGTGTATTAGACTCCATTTTGGAAGATTAGTATATTGAGAATGAAAGTTAATGCACTTAAAAGGCCATATTAAAAACTTAATTTTTATTGGTCTCATTTTCCTCCTGTATAAGATATAAACATGAGTGAACAGTAGTTCTAATTTACAAGGTCGTAATGAAGGTCAAAATTGATCAAGTATGTGAAAATTAATATTTTCTACAGTAAAGAGCTTTTTATTGAATAGAAAGAACACTCATATTTTTTGAATATTTATTCTAGACTCTTTTCAGGTACTGTGCTACGCATCTGATTTTTTTAGAGTTGAGGGTCTAGCCAGAAATTATATAGTTCCTAAGTAGATAAAGAACTGTGTAACTTCAGCAGATGGTTAAAAAAAAGACACATTTTGTGCCTTGAATCTACTTTTTAGACCTAGGGATTTTGTTTTTTAAACTTAATCTTTAAGAAGTTAGTACTACAAAACTAATATAAACTTATGATAAAAATGTAAATTATTATTCAGTGTGAAAAGTAAGAATCATTCTACCTACGGGTCCCACTTCAAAGGTATAACTGCCAATTTTAAAGTATGAATACAGCTTTTTGTTACTTTCAGCATCTGTGTTCTATTTTGTAATGAAAAGTTTTTTTTTTAAGAAAAGTTCGTTTATACCTACTAAACATTTTTCATCTCTTAAGGTTTGCTGTCAGTTTTCTTTGGTGTTTCCCCATATCAATCTTACAGATACTTTTTTTTTCCTTTGTTTTCGTCCTTTTATTTTGAATATAAGTGCTGCTACTATTAGAGGTGTCCACAAATGGAATGGACTTAATTCTGTCTAGGATAACAAAATTAGGGTTAACCTAAGGTGCTACAGACTGCACCCCTGGAGAGGAGTCCTAAATGGGTGGCATACCTTTATTCTACTCCTTATGTCTTTCTTTTATGAGGGTAAAGGAGAGAGAGGCAGTTGTGAGGCAACATTCTGTATTTCGGGGTGGAGGGGGATAAGGAGTAATGGAAAAAATACAATAAAAAAATCATAAAAAATGAACTATTTTTCATTTAACTTAAAAAAAACCCCTCTGTATTTCTGTTGTTCCTTCTTGCATTTAACTCCAGACTTGAACCAAACTTTTCTGTTCCAACATTTTCCTATTCAGTGGTCATCCTGAAACTTGTGGACCAGGCAGCCACATCTCTAATGACAGAAATCAGTATTTTGAGAAGTAAAGCTAATCCAAATGTTGCTAAATAAAATCGTTGATATTCAAACATAATTTAAAGTGACTAGATTCATACCTTTTATAAATTTGTTTCTGAATATTAAACATTATAATGAAGATGGAATTCAACTTTTAAAAAAGTCCATCTAGCCCTGGCCGGTGTGGCTCGTTTGAAGCATCGTCCCATACACCAAAAAGTTGTGGGTTCGGTTCCTGGTTGGGACACATATGTAGGTTATGGGTTCAGTCCTCTGTAGGGGTGTGTTCAGAAGGCAACCAGTTGATGTTTCTCACCCCTCCTTCCCTCCCTCCCCCTTCTCTCTAAATGCAATGAAAAAAATGTTCTTGGTGAGGATAAAAAAATTTTTTTTTTCTAATCAAGGTATTTTTTTTTTCCTTTTTGTCATTATGACTAATCTTCCAAACAGGTTACTTTGAGCTATAAAATGAGCTCTAGCTGGTGTGGCTCAGTGGATTGAATGCTGTCCTGCAAACCAAAGGGTCACTGGTTTGATCCCCAGTGTAGGGCACATGCCTGGGTTGCAAGTCAGGTCCCCAGCAGGGGGCGCATGAGATGCCACCACACATTGATGTTTCTCTCCCTCTCTCCCTCCCTTCCTGGCTCTAAAAATAAATAAATAAAATCTTTTACAAAATAGTTATAAAGTTATATTATGAATTGTATTAATATGATACATGTGGTAAAATATATGAAAGAACTTTTTTTTTTTTTTAATATGATGAGATGTAGCAGGACATAGAATTTTTTAAAAGACAATTAGAGACCATGATTCAAGAAAATTAGAAGTTAATTGGGCTTCCATTTCTGGCAAAATTATGGTCAAATACCTCTAGGTGACAAACATCTAAGAAGTTATCTAGAAAAAACTCCTAAGAAAATACCTAGAAATTCAACCAAATATTTCATTTATAAAATATTTATTGTCGTATTCAATAATAAAGCATTAAGAGCAATCTAAATATCTAAGAGTTTCATAATATATTTAAAATAATGGTAAATGGGGATTTTTTTTTTTTTTTGGAGAAAATTATAGTTCCTTATTTTTCATTTTCAGAAACCTGAGGACCTGCTCGCTGATTTTAGAGAGAGGGAAAGCGGGGGGGGGGGGGGGGGGGGGACATCAATCAGCTGCCTCTCATGCGCACCTGACTGGGACTGAACTGCAACCTAGGCACGTGGCCTGACCAGGAATCCAGCCAGGCTTATGGGACAGCACTCCAACCAGCCAGGGAGAGAACATTATAGTCTTTATTGAAAAACATTAAAGAATTCCTAAATAAATGGAAATACATTTCATGTTTATGTATAGGAAGATTCAGTGTCCTGACTTCCGTTTTCCTCATGTTAATATATAAGTTAATTTCAGTAGCATTGATAATTATAGTTGAGCTTTCTGTAGAATTTACAAGATGATTAGAAAATTTATACGGACACTGGCAGTAATAGAAAAGATAGGGTAAGGTAGGACTTGGCCTACCAGATAACAAAACTTACTTGGTAGCTGTAATAATAGTGCGTTATAGATGCAAAGATAAACAAATAGACCTGTGGTACAGAATAAACAGTCCAGAAGGTGACCAACCCACACATTGTCTGTAGCTGTCCACTGAGTGCTCAGGCTCAGGCCAAGGTCAGCCCCCACCTGTGTTCTGACTGGGGCCGCCCTGCTTGAGCTATAAAGCAATATGCAGGTGGCCGCTACTTGTGCTGGGCTTGGAGGTTCCCAGGTGAGCAAGGCTGTGAACTGAGGCTGGCTGCTGTTAGCTGGGCCTGGGGCCACTTAGCAAGGGGTATGAGGGCTGTGGGCTGGGGGCTCACTGAGGCTAGCTGTTACTTGTTTGAAAGGATTTAGGAAGTTGTGAAACATGAGCCAAGACTATCCATTCATATGGAAAAGCCACTGTTAACAGCTTTGTTGGGCCTGTAGATTGAGTGGAACAGAGCCTCAGGGATCTCCAGTGCTGGGCAAACAGTGTTAACCAGCTTGTTGGAGCCTCAGATATGGCATTCTCCTGCTTGCTCTGTGGCCATGTGGATAGAGGGTTCAAAAAAGGGCCAGTGACAAAGCTGTCCCTCAGCTTTTGCCTTGATGCCAGACTTCATTTCCTCCCTGTATGCCACTGGTGTCTTTCAAGCTGCTACCCTGGTGCTGGAACTCAGAGGGAGTGAGTCTGAGTAAGTCTGTGTGTGGGCTCTACAGGAGGAGGTGCCTGGGACTCCAGCAGTTCTTCCACTGACTCAATCCCCACTGGTTTTTGTAGCCAGGAGTTGAGGGGATTTATCTTCCTGGTACTGGAATCCTGGCCTGGGGGACTTGATGTTGGACTGGAACTCCTCACTCCCAAGATACCCCTCCTGAATTTTTACCCACCACATATGGATGTGAGACCATACCATTCTGCATTTCCACCCCTCCTTCAGGTCTGGATGGATGTGGTTTCTTTAATTCCCTGGTTGTCAGACTTCCATTCAGCTTGGTTCCTGATGGTGCTGAGTGATGGTTATTCTATAATTTAGTTGTAATTTTGATGTGGTTATGCGAGGTGTTTCCTGATGCCTGCGTCTTGACTGGAAGTTCCTGAAAGATAATTTTTATATTTTGGAGAGGTGAAAATTTGTTGACAACCCCTAAATGTTCATAATCTGGCATGTTTAAATTGTGGTGTGGTTCTGTAATGGACTATTAGACAGCAGTGAAAAACAAACTAGAGCACCAAGTGTCAGTGAGGTTGAATCTTATACCACAGAGTGAAAACAGTTCTTTGCCTAAAAATACATGGAGTGATTCCTCTTATGTAAAATTTAACAACATGTATGCAAATATAATGTTACAATATTGTTAAAGAATATAGGCATTGGTGGTAAAAGTTTAAAGCAGTGAAGGGCTGTATGCGCTGAAACTTAAGAAATATAAATAGCAGATGGTCAAAGAAAAATTATATTGAAAAGTAGAAAACATTTTGAGTTGAAGGTTCATGAGAATACTACATATATTGAAATTTTGGGGATGTTATTAAAGAGTACCCAGGGGAAATTGGTAGCCTTCAACATTTACATTAGAAAAGAAAAACTACAAATTAATTAGCTAGACATAAATGTCAAAGCATCAACCCAAAGAAAGGAAATATTAAGGAATATCAAATATTATATATTTGATGAAATAGAAGACAGACATACTATAGATACTAATCTGATTTACAAACCACTGATAAAATTATCAGGTAAGGGGGAAAAAAGGAGAAAGCACAAATAACCAATATCAAGGATGGAAAATGGGACATACCCACCAATATTTGTGATTCTCTCACTGGTACTAGGATTTATATCTTCGCAGAGTCCACTAATGTAGTATTCAGGTTTCCCACATCCACAGAGAAAGGGGCCCACTGGGCTCCTGCTTTTTGGTAGAAGAGTTACAGGAAGAGGAACCCCATTGATCTCAATCATTGGACTGAGTAGGAGGCCATAGGCCACATTCATTTTTCAGGCAGGAAAAGGATTTCTGGTTTAGTTTAAAGACTATCACTGGAGATGGGCAGGACCAGATGACTTCGTTATTCAAATTTCAGGAAGCAGACGATTCTATTTAAACTCTTCCACAAAATAGAAAAAGAAAGAAATCTCACAGATTATTATTTCTGTTAGAAGAAAATTGTTGTAAAACTTGAAGAATAGAAATAGACAAAAAGATAAGTAGAAAGTTATAGCCCTTTCTCCTTTAGTAATATTTACCATTAATGAAT